TTTAGAGTGAAATGTTGTAGAGTTTAGAGTGAAATGATGTAGAGTTTAGTGAAATGTTGTAGAGTTTAGAGTGAAATGATGTAGAGTTTAGAGAAATGTTGTAGAGTTTAGTGAAATGATGTAGAGTTTAGAGAAATGTTGTAGAGTTTAGAGTGAAATGATGTAGAGTTTAGAGAAATGTTGTAGAGTTCAGAGAAATGATGTAGAGTTTAGATGAATGTTGTAGAGTTTAGTGAGAATGTGTAGAGTTTAGAGTGAAATGTGTAGAGTTTAGAGAAATGATGTAGAGTTTAGAGAAATGATTGTAGAGTTTAGAGTGAAATGTAGAGTTTAGAGTGAAATGTTGTAGAGTTTAGAGTGGAAATGATGTAGAGTTTAGAGTGAAATGTAGAGTTTAGAGAAATGTTTGTAGAGTTTAGAGTGAATGTTGTAGAGTTTAGAGTGAAATGTGTAGAGTTTAGAGTGGAAATGAGTAGAGTTAGAGTGAAATGTTGTAGAGTTTAGAGTGAAATGTTGTAGAGTTTAGAGTGAAATGATGTAGAGTTTAGAGTGAAATGATGTAGAGTTTAGAGTGAAATGATGTAGAGTTTAGAGAAATGATGTAGAGTTTAGAGTGAAATGATGTAGAGTTTAGAGTGAAATGATGTAGAGTTTAGAGAAATGTTGTAGAGTTTAGAGTGAAATGTTGTAGAGTTTAGAGTTAAATGATGTAGAGTTTAGAGTGAAATGTTGTAGAGTTTAGAGTGAAATGATGTTAGAGGTTTAGAGTGAAATGTTGTAGAGTTTAGAGTGAAATGATGTAGAGTTTAGAGAAATGATGTAGAGTTTAGAGTGAAATGATGTAGAGTTTAGTGAAATGTTGTAGAGTTTAGAGTGAAATGATGTGGAGTTTAGAGTGAAATGATGTAGAGTTTAGAGAAATGATGTAGAGTTTAGTGAAATGATGTAGAGTTTAGAGTGAAATGATGTAGAGTTTAGAGAAATGATGTAGAGTTTAGAGTGAAATGATGTAGAGTTTAGAGTGAAATGATGTAGAGTTTAGAGTGAAATGATGTAGAGTTTAGAGAAATGATGTAGAGTTTAGAGTGAAATGATGTAGAGTTTAGAGTGAAATGATGTAGAGTTTAGAGTGAAATGATGTAGAGTTTAGTGAAATGTTGTAGAGTTTAGAGTGAAATGATGTAGAGTTTAGAGAAATGATGTAGAGTTTAGAGTGAAATGTTGTAGAGTTTAGAGTGAAATGATGTAGAGTTTAGAGTGAAATGATGTAGAGTTTAGAGTGAAATGATGTAGAGTTTAGAGTGAATGATGTAGAGTTTAGAGTGAAATGTTGTAGAGTTTAGAGTGAAATGATGTAGAGTTTAGTGAAATGATGTAGAGTTTAGTGAAATGTTGTAGAGTTTAGAGTGAAATGATGTAGAGTTTAGAGTGAAATGTTGTAGAGTTTAGAGTGAAATGATGTAGAGTTTAGAGTGAAATGTTGTAGAGTTTAGAGTGAAATGATGTAGAGTTTAGAGAAATGATGTAGAGTTTAGAGTGAAATGATGTAGAGTTTAGTGAAATGTTGTAGAGTTTAGAGTGAAATGATGTAGAGTTTAGAGTGAAATGATGTAGAGTTTAGAGAAATGATGTAGAGTTTAGTGAAATGATGTAGAGTTTAGAGTGAAATGATGTAGAGTTTAGAGAAATGATGTAGAGTTTAGAGTGAAATGATGTAGAGTTTAGAGTGAAATGATGTAGAGTTTAGTGAAATGTTGTAGAGTTTAGAGTGAAATGATGTAGAGTTTAGTGAAATGATGTAGAGTTTAGTGAAATGTTGTAGAGTTTAGAGTGAAATGATGTAGAGTTTAGTGAAATGTTGTAGAGTTTAGAGTGAAATGATGTAGAGTTTAGTGAAATTAGATCAAGATCTGAGTACTTCTACTTTTACTCAAGTACAAGTGTAACAGTTGTGAATATGCAGTGGTGTTTATGTGTAAATCATTTAGTATAATCACACACATTCTGTGTTTTATATTTAATAATTCTGTATTCTTCATTTATTGAATGTTCAATACCTGACAAGGTCGGAGATCAGTGGGCGGAACCTCTGAAATGTAGTCCCTGTACTCAGAAGATTATTTTTGTGGGGACTTCACCCTTCATATTGTGTCCCTCACGTTTCCTCTTGCCTTGTTGTAAATGTTCCACGTGAGAGGAGTCACTGTGAGGGATAACAAATGTAATACTGATTTGTTATATTCTGTCAGATTGTCAGTGATTAAACGGATATCGTCTAAACCAGTGGTTCTCAACTGGTGGGTCGCGACCCAAAAGTGGGTCGCGGACCCGTTTCAAGTGGGTCGCGGATGTGTGAGTGAAGAAAAAAAAGTTGAAAAAAAAATTGCAATTATTTTTTTATTTTTTTTGGGAAAAAATGCAAACTTTTATTTTGAAGGACCGATTTTCTAACGCTGTGCATTCAGTAGGCGTTGGACTGGAAGTACCGGAGACCATAAATGGTTTTGAAAACTTCTGTCACGTAGTGATCATCTTCTCAATAAAACATCTCTGCTGATGTTTTTTCGAGTCTTCTGGCCAATCAGAATCAAGATTGTTGGCGGAAGTCCCCACGGAGAATAACTGAGGTAGAACTATTCTTTATACATCCATGGGTACAACTTCAGATAAAAATGAACACATAATGAAATATGACCCCCTGTTTGATGATTGACAGGTCACAGAACAATGGGAGCTATCTACCCTTACCCACAATTTAAAGTAAATCACACAGACTATCTCCTCTTTACTCTTCTCGCAGCAAGATGTCAGAACAAAGTGAAAAACAAACAATGGCATAAAATATTATTAATATGTCAGGTAGTAATAGATTTATTTATTTTCTTCTCAGAGTGTACCAGAATGCGTAGTTTATGTTATTATTTCTAAAAATCTCCTGGGGGAGAATCTCCCCAGACCCCCTGCTGGGGTTGGGTTTTCAGCATGTGTGCCTTTTTATATAGTTCAGCTTTGACTCCATCATCTCATTAAACCTTGTTTAAAAGCATACTTTAGTTCTGTGAAGGGATATATGCACTGTACTTCACTTTTATTAATATTGTATTCTGAAAAGCGTATATATTACAGCACGATTTTTTGTTGAATAGATTTGAGTGCTTCAAAATGTTGGGTCACGATGTATTGACCAAGTAAAAAGTGGGTCCCGAGGCCTGACCAGTTGAGAACCACTGGTCTAAACTGTATGCTGGCTCGGGTCTCATCCATGAACAACGCAAAACACAACGCAGAGCCCGCTTAACGACACCGGTTACACAAGATCTGAGTACTTCTACTTTTACTCAAGTACAATATATGAGTACTTCTACTTTTACTCAAGTACAAGATCTGAGTACTTATACTTTACTCAAGTACGAGATCTGAGTACTTCTTCCACCTCTGTTCATTGCTCAGGTGGAAATCACAGAAAAGACTTGAGGAGAAAACAGAGCTTGGACTACCATCTAGTGCAGTGGTTCTCAACTGGTTAGGCCTCGGGACCCACTTTTTACTTGGTCAATACATCGCGACCCAACATTTTGAAGCACTCAAATCTATTCAACAAAAAATCGTGCTGTAATATACGCTTTTTAGAATACAATATTAATAAAAGTGAAGTACAGTGCATATATCCCTTCACAGAACTAAAGTATGCTTTTAAAAAAGGTTTAATGAGATGATGGAATCAAAGCTGAACTATATAAAAAGGCACACACTAACCCAACCCCAGCAGGGGGGTCTGGGGGGATTCTCCCCCAGGAGATTTTTTGAAATACTAACATAAACTACGCATTCTGGTACACTCTGAGAAGAAAATAAATAAATCATACATATTAATAATATTTTATGCCATTGTTTGTTTTTCACTTAGTTCTGACAGCTTGCTGAGAGAAGAGTAAAGAGGAGATAGTCTGTGTGACTTACTTTAAATTGTGGGTAAGGGTAGATAGCTCCCATTGTTCTGTGACCTGTCAATCATCAAACCGGGGGTCATATTTCATTATGTGTTCATTTCTATCTGAAGTTGTACCCATGGATGTATAAAGAATAGTTCTACCGCTAAGTTATTTTCCGTGGGGACTTCCGGCAACAATCTTGATTCTGATTGGCCAGAAGACTCGAAAAAACATCAGCAGAGATGTTTTATTGAGAAGATGATCACTACGTGACAGAAGTTTTCAAAACCGTTTATGGTCTCCGGTACTTCCAGTCCAACGCCTACTGCATGCACAGCGTTAGAACATCGGTTCTTCAAAATAAAAGTTTGCCTTTTTTCCCAAAAAAAAAAAAAAAAATTCCAATTTTTTTTTTTCTTCACTCACACATCCGCGACCCACTTGAAACGGGTCCGCGACCCACTTTTGGGTCGCGACCCACCAGTTGAGAACCACTGATCTAGTGGACAAACAGAAAACTACACCCACACACTTGGAGCCCAACAGCAGACTGTGAATTACTGGAAATGGTCTGTGTTTCTGACAGACGTGGAAAATATATATAAAAGTACACACTCACACAAATACCTGTACTTTCTACTTCTTACTTTTTCTAAACAGGCTGGTTACTTTAGTTTTAATCTGTGTTTGGTGGCGTGATCATCATGATTTGAATGTCAGAGTTTTTTCAGACAGGATTTCATTCATTAGTTCATTTATTTTATGAGTTTGATGTTAGTTTCAATCTGCTGATGAAGGAGGTGCTACATGAACAGAGCTCAGAAACAAAGTGTGAGAATTTACCATATGCATTTTTTATTTACTTATATTACATTTTTATGGATTCTTTATCATTGTAATTGTATTGTTTTATCCATAACTCCATATATATCCATAACAAAGATTATTATTTTTATTACATTTCTATGGATTCTTTATACGTGGACACAGACCCTCGTCCCCCGTCAATAAACTGAATCCCCTCTCTGCTCAGCTGCTCATGCATTTCATTTTAAAGACATCACAGAATCAGAATCAGAAAACCTTTATTAGTCCCAGAGGGGAAATGTACATTTGTTCCAGCAGAAAAGAGTAAAAGACAGCTTAACGTTAACTAAGAAGCATGCATACAAATATTAAAGATACTTTTTTTTTTTTTTTTTTTTTTTAAATGGCACAATTTACAAAATACACATCCTGTAGCAGTTCTGAAGAGAACACATCTTAAAGGTTTCAACAATATCTGATCACATTTCATAAAGACTACATGCACACAAAGCTTTAGCAGAGTTTCAATGACACCAGGCAGAGCTCCTTTAGAAGAGTTACAAATCAACGGAAACATTTGATTGGATATTAAAGGTCTCCTATTATGCTATTTTTAGGCATATATTATGGGTCTCAGATATAAAAAAAAACATGTCTATTAGGGGTGGGGGAAATAATCGATACAGCATAGTATCGCGTTACTTTGGGCGGCGATATTGTATCGATACACGGATGCCAAGTATCGATATTTTATTATATAAACTGTAGCATATCCCTCCGAAAGATGGTCGTATATAAAACAGGAAGTTAAGACATGTATACAATTGCAATGAAAGTAACAGAAACAATGCCATCTCCTTTTCAGGTTCAAAGAACACACATTGGGTTATTTACATAAACTATTCATATTGTAAATACATTTTTTAACCTGGAAGGGAAGATGGACATGAATATGACCCATGTGATTTGCAATATATCGTATCGCAATACTTAGCATATCGTAGAATCACAATACTATCGTATCGTGGCTTAAGTATCGCGTGTAAGCCTGCCCACATTTTAGTAGTGTCGTCATGACGCAGCAAATCTGGATCAGCTCCGTTGTTCCCCCGTTTTTAGAGATGTGGGTACGGAGGAAAAGAGAGCGGGTTTTATTTTCTGACACTTTGTGAGTCTCCTGACACACCAGGGACACATATTTATGTATAAAAGACATCAAAAAGTGCATTTTGCATGATAGGAGACCTTTAAATGAACCCGGGGTGATGAACACAAAGAAGAACACATTTCTTCTTCTTGGCTTTTTCTGACTTTGTCCTCAAAGACTTTGAGAGCGTCTCCAAGAGAACCCAGTGCTTTGATCACAGGGAGAACGTCTCCCCCCCAAACGCAGGATTATGGGATGCCTGTGGACCATTTTGAGATGGACACGGGTCAACAGGTAACCCTCTGGGACCTGGAAGAGAAACAGGGAAATACTTTGGTTATAAAACCAGCAGTAGATTGTAGACGGGCTTCTTCAACTGATAGAGGAGAGTATTTGTTCTCACTGGATCAATACTCTCTGATCTGCTCTCACCTCTCTGTACTGTATATACAGACAGTGAAGTAACTAAGTATATATACTCATGTGCTGTACTAAAGTACCATTTTGATGTACTTGTGCTCTACCTGAGTATTTAAAGGCCTCTGGTTCAGAATCCCTGCTGGTTGAACCTGTTATCTGAACGTATTCATGTTTATGTTAGGCTGACCCCATCCTAGGTTAGTTTACTGTATAGCAGAGGTTCTTCTGAATGCAGTCCCTCATCAGAACCACCTTTATTAACAGGTACGTTTACACACACAAGGAAGTAGATTTAGTGTCTGGTGGTGCAAACATAAACAACATAAGAAAATAAGTTGCAATAGAAGGTCAAGAATATAAAGATAATAAAAATAAGTATTTTTAAGAAACTATTTACAATTAAAAAAAGAATAAGACAAGTATTTACACCAAATGTAAATGTAAATATACACAGAACCTTAAAAGCTACAACACTTAGCAGAATGAAAATATGACAATATATGTAAAACTACAGAGAGTTGTATTTTAAAGCAGGGCAGTTTCTAGCTGTTTGGGGGCCCCATGCAAGATGCTGTTTGGGGGCCCCATGCAAGATGCTGTTTGGGGGCCCTATGCAAGATGCTGTTTGGGGGTCCCTATGCAAGATGCTGTTTGGGGGCCCTATGCAAGATGCTGTTTGGGGGCCCCATGCAAGATGCTGTTTGGGGGCCCCATGCAAGATGCTGTTTGGGGGCCCCATGCAAGATGCTGTTTGGGGGCCCCATGCAAGATGCTGTTTGGGGGCCCCATGCAAGATGCTGTTTGGGGGCCCTATGCAAGATGCTGTTTTGGGAGCCCTATGCAAGATGCTGTTTGGGGGCCCCATGCAAGATGCTGTTTGGGGGCCCCATGCAAGCCGCTGTTTGGGGGCCCCATGCAAGATGCTGTTTGGGGGCCCCATGCAAGATGCTGTTTGGGGGCCCCATGCAAGATGCTGTTTGGGGGCCCCATGCAAGATGCTGTTTCGGGGCCCTATGCAAGATGCTGTTTGGGGGCCCTATGCAAGATGCTGTTTTGGGAGCCCTATGCAAGATGCTGTTTTGGGAGCCCTATGCAAGATGCTGTTTGGGGGCCCCATGCAAGATGCTGTTTGGGGGCCCTATGCAAGATGCTGTTTGGGGGCCCCATGCAAGATGCTGTTTGGGGGGCCCCATGCAAGATGCTGTTTGGGGGCCCCATGCAAGATGCTGTTTGGGGGCCCCATGCAAGATGCTGTTTGGGGGCCCCATGCAAGATGCTGTTTGGGGGCCCCATGCAAGATGCTGTTTGGGGGCCCTATGCAAGATGCTGTTTTGGGAGCCCTATGCAAGATGCTGTTTGGGGGCCCCATGCAAGATGCTGTTTGGGGGCCCCATGCAAGATGCTGTTTGGGGACCCCATGCAAGATGCTGTTTGGGGGCCCCATGCAAGATGCTGTTTTGGGGCCCCATGCAAGATGCTGTTTGGGGGCCCCATGCAAGATGCTGTTTGGGGGCCCCATGCAAGACGCTGTTTGGGGACCCCATGCAATATGCTGTTTGGGGGCCCCATGCAAGATGCTGTTTGGGGGCCCCATGCAAGATGCTGTTTGGGGGGCCCTATGCAAGATGCTGTTTGGGGACCCCATGCAAGATGCTGTTTGGGGGCCCCATGCAAGATGCTGTTTGGGGGCCCCATGCAAGATGCTGTTTGGGGGCCCCATGCAAGATGCTGTTTGGGGGCCCTATGCAAGATGCTGTTTGGGGGCCCCATGCAAGATGCTGTTTGGGGGCTCCATGCAAGATGCTGTTTGGGGGCCCCATGCAAGATGCTGTTTGGGGGCTCCATGCAAGATGCTGTTTGGGGGCCCTATGCAAGATGCTGTTTGGGGGCCCCATGCAAGATGCTGTTTGGGGGCCCCATGCAAGATGCTGTTTGGGGGCCCCATGCAAGATGCTGTTTGGGGGCCCTATGCAAGATGCTGTTTGGGGACCCCATGCAAGATGCTGTTTGGGGGCCCCATGCAAGATGCTGTTTGGGGGCTCTATGCAAGATGCTGTTTGGGGGCCCCATGCAAGATGCTGTTTGGGGGCCCTAGTTTTTACAGTTTTTTTAACTACAATGGGGGGATCCCGAAGCCTTTAAGATGATCTGTGGAGATGCATCAATCTGTTACACTTTAAGAGGAAAACAAGCTAATTTCACGAAAACCAAGCAATTGAAACTTAAAAATTATTATAAAAAGCCAAACAATAAGGCTCCTCTACCTCAATAAATGCAAGAGATGCAGCATTTTCTCAACAATGTATAATTGACATTGACACTCAGACGTCACTCATTGGCTGACAGCCCAACAATGATTTGGACTTTATTGATCCCCACAAACACAAGCCTCAGCTTTGCTATCATTGCAGATTAGTTGTGTTTATATCCTACATTTGATTCTTAAGCATATAATGCTTCACCGAACACAGGAGGGGGCTTGGCTGTCTACAAATAAAGACGGCTCATTTGAATTCTCCCCAAATATATTGAGGCTGAACCTGAACTTTCAGCTTTGGGCCCCCTAGTGGGCATCCGCACAGTCCGCCTATAGGAAGAAACGGCCCTGCTTTAAAGTGGAGGGCTGTGCAGACGTGTGCAAACATGGCATGAAATGAAAGAAGGATGGTTATATAAAGATCTTATTAAAGTAGTGTTTGGTCATGTTAGAGGATCAGCTGTATGAAGATTCAGGTGTGTGTTCAGGTGAGAAGAACACTGGATTCTGGAGTTATGAAACAGAGTTAGTAAAGTTCAACTCCAGCTCAACGAACACAAAGTACAATAACAGAACATCTAAAGACCAAAGCTAAATATTCAGATTACTGGGAACCTCTGAGTTCCTTGTCAATTTCCAATGGATTATTAACGAGTTAATAAGCAGGACCAGCCAATCACAGCAGAGCGTGAGACATTGATCACAGCAGATGAACTGATATATAATTACATAAAAAAAATGTTTTTTCAGGTTATGGTGACACATCTTTCTTCTTAAGAAAAGCTTTAAGTACAATTGATTGTTTTTGCTCATTTAATATTGAGGGCAGCCAACAGGAAGTCTCAGCTGCAGCCTTCTTTCATATTTTCCAAAATGCCTCCACGCTCCTCTTTACGTCTCAAACTCGCCCCGTAATAAATAAACTGTGAACAAATAAAACCTGAGTTTGCAGATTTGTCTTGAATCCCAGAAAACACTGACCAATAACTACATTTTATTCTGTAGTGAAACCTCAATAAATAAACTTCACACGGTGCGACCTCTCACCTTTCTGTGTGTCTTCACTTCCTGTCACCTGAGAGGAGAAGGAGAGAGAGAGAGAATAATGATGATGATAATAAAACATGAAGAGAAACAGACAGAATGATGAAGAGAGAAACAAGAGTATTGTTTTCCTCTGAGGTCATGCTCCATGAAAGAGTTTAGTATCTTGTTGAATGGAGGATATGGTTTCAGTACTCACAGGTCTTCTGGATCGTGGCTCTGATCGGCTCGTCATTGATCCTGTAGGGATGAACCCAATCCAACAGTTTTAGATCCAGTTTAAAATAAGTGTTTGTTCTTTGAGTCAGCTTCAGAGTCCTGATCTCATGCTTTACATCCCATCATATCTTCTCTGCAAACACTACGACTGACTGCCACAGCTCTCAGCTGCATTACAGGAAGTAACCAGTCATTAGAAACTAGAAACATCCCATAAAAAACAGACTACCTTTCCCACTCTTCTGTAAAATCCCATATGTCTGTTAGAGAGTTGATTACTAAAGTGTGGCTTTGCATGTTCAGCTGGCCTTCTATAGTTGATGGAAGAATGAGAGAGCCTGCAGTCAGTGGGTAACATCACTGATCTGTTGTGATTCCCCAGTGAGAGAAACACCTCCCTGTGTTTAATACAATACTGCTGAACCAGCAGAGACCCCTTACTGACCTGAGGGTCTCCAGTCTGCAGTCTGGACTCTCCAGGAGATCTCTCAGCAGCTCCACTCCTGAATCCTTCAGAGCGTTGTCACTCAGGTCCAGATCTCTCAGATGGATGTTGAACTTCAGAGCTGAGATCAGAGCAGAACAGCTGATCTCTGACAAACTGCAGTGTCTCAGTCTGAATAAAGAAAACATGATGGAAGTTTAGAAAACAAAGTTCCTGTTAGAAATAACTCCAGGTTTAATAATCTGTTCAGAGTTAAACAGGGTTTGAATTAGGGATGGGAATGATTCATCGAATATTCAAAATGATTCAGGTATTCGAATATGAGGTATGAATATTTGTATTGTAATTATTATTGTTTTTATGGGAGGGGTGCCTAAGTTGATTACATATTATCAAATGGATTAATTAAATGTTTACGACCGTGCCATTTTAAATGTCTAAAGAAAAATATCAATAAAAAAACCACGTGTAACGTTACCAGGGCTCAGCACAGAGGACGATGCTCTGACGTCATCACCCTCGCACATTTGTCATATGTTTACAAAAAACTATATATATATGTTAAAACCTTTCTCGTTCTTAATATAGACTATATTTAAGGTCGATATGTGTTGACTTTAATTTAAAATAGCAGATCTCTGTGACCGGATATAGTTTTTCGGCTTAGTGAACGTGTCTCTGCTCTGATCAGTGTGTGTGTGTGTGTGTGTGTGTGTGTGTGTGTGTGTGTGTGTGTGTGTGTGTGTCAAACCCCCCGACCCGTCCTGTAACACGGAGCCGTTTCCTAAACCATGCTAAATGTGTGTGTGTGCATAAAGTGAGTTATGATCACTGAATCTGGTGATGATGAAATAGTTTGCAGTGAGATTTACTCTCATACTTCTGGCTATACTCGTGCAGCCCTACAAATGAACTGAGATTTCAACACAAATGATCTTAAGCAAGTGTGCAGAGCGATGTTGATTTAAAATAGTAATTTGAAGGTTGGATATTTGTAAACCTTTTTTTGATTATATATTAATAATTTAATATATACCCCCGCACCTCCACACAGGGTTCCTGCAGGTTTCGCCTACTCAAATTTAAGACTTTTTAAGACCTTTTTAAGACCACTTTGAATAGAATTTAAGACCTATTTCACGGCAAGAAAGTATGAAGGAAAATTGCTATGAAAGAAGAAATACGTCCCATAATTACTTACAAAGTAAATGTAAAGGCATAACAGAACTGTGTTAGCGTGTTAGACAAAAAGTGTATGTGTCTGTGTGTGCTTGTGTGTGTGTGTTAGGGGTGTGCAATTAATCGTATTTTAAATCGCAATTACGATTTTGGCCTGCCACAATTACGAAATTATTTAGCTTTGCTCGGTTGTGACAGTGCACTACAACATATTTGATCTAATTAATTTTAGTCTAATTTATTTGTATTTATCATATTTATATATGTTTAGTAGCTTGTGGAAGTGCGCTCCAAAATATTTGTTGATCTTGTTTATTGGTATTTATTATTTTGATATTATTTATTTAAATGTATAATTTATTTAATTTATTTTTGTATTGGTTTTTCAGTTGAATTATACGTTCAGGGTAATCAACAGTTAAAAAGATACTGTTCAAATTATTATTTGTTTTAAAGTTCAATAAATGGATGTTTTCAAAGTCAATGAATAATCGTATTTAATAATCTTGATATCAATTATTGACCAAAATAATCGTGATTATGATTTTTGCCATAATCGAGCAGCCCTAGTGTGTGTGTGTGAGAGAGAGAGAGAGAGAGAGAGAGAGAGAGAGAGAGAGAGAGAGAGAGAGAGAGAGAGAGAAGAGCTATATTCAGAGCTCTGCTGCCTTGGCTACAATCTTTCATCGTTGCTGTTGTAGGATTGGTGTTTAGCTACGGTATTTAGCGTCTACGGCACCTCCGCTTTTAGGGTTGACATACACCCAAACGTCGCCCAGAGGTCCGCCGGTGTTGTTGCAGGAGCTGCTGCACTAGCTAACGCTACATTAGCATACGCTACTTTCTTTTGCAAAAGGTGCAGCGGGCTTCAAACACGTTCCCCTCCACTGGTTTCAACCAAGCACTAAATTCGATGTTTTCCAACCAAATACGGTTGAACTTACACTTCCCCATATTTATTTTTAAGTAGATTCTAAGATACATGAGTTTCTGACTGCCGCTAGCTGAAGCTTGCTAGGTTACTAGCTGGGTGTTCTCCAATAAGGGGCCGGGGGAAACAAAGTTAGTGATTACTGGTTCCATGTTGATTTATTTCAATACAAATTGTTGGGGGGAACTGAAAGGCTCTTACCGTACTGGTTACTTTGCAGCCCGGACATTTCCCCCAAAACACATTTAGACGCGATCTCAACACAGAAGTACCTTTCAAATCCGATCATTTTTAAGACCTTCTAAATCATATTTAAGACCTTTCTTATTTTTTTGGTCATATTTAAGACCTTTTTAAGGCCTTAAATTCAGATTATCAAAATTAAGACTTTTTAAGACCCCGCGGGAACCCTGTCCACAGAGAGCCCCCCCCCCCCACATATCAAACCCCAACTTAACCCCTGAACGTTACACCCTAACGGAGAGTCCTACCCAACAAACTAAAATGTATTTATTATTAAAAATATTTATATATTTGTTTTTACAGCATCTCCACTGACTCATGGAGCACAGAGTGAGTCTGTTATATCTCATCTTAGCTCTTAAGGTTGCCTTTCTGGTAGGTCAGGTACAACTGGCAAAAAAGGGGTGGAGCACCAAGATTGGTCCATAACCAAAGGTGAATAACTTCAATACGCAATCACATCCCATAGGCACACTGTGGTAGGCTATGTGGGAGGCATGGTTTCCCTTATTCTGCACTGTGACTGCAGAGCTGCTAGAAGTCCTTCTCTGGGGGATAGACCCATGCATTGGAGGAGAACATCATTTTACTAGATGTTATGTTTGCGTGATTATTCATAATGGATAGAAAGACATATGTTGGAGGAGAGTTAGCTTGTCTGTTTCTCTTGTGATCCTAATTTTCATATTTTTTAAAGTTTGCATTGCTCAAATTAACAATTGTGTGAAAATTAAAGGATAAAGAACAAAAAACAGACCAAGCCAGGCCAGCTGTTTTTCCCCATCTGTTTAATAAGTCAAGCTAACCAGCTGCTCATGGTAGCATAATGACATACAGATGTGATGATATACCAGCCATTAGTCTACAAACTAAAAAAACATCACGTAAAAAACATTAAAATAAAAAACAGACTACCTTTCCCACTCTTCTGTAAAACCCCATATGTCTGATAGAGAGTTGATTACTAAAGTGTGGCTTTGCATTTCCAGTTGGCCTTCTATAGTTGATGGAAGAATGAAAGAGCCTGCAGTCAGTGGATAACATCACTGATCTGTTGTGATTCCCCAGTGAGAGAAACACCTCCCTGTGTTTAATACAATACTGCTGAACCAGCAGAGACCCCTTACTGACCTGAGGGTCTCCAGTCTGCAGTCTGGACTCTCCAGGAGATCTCTCAGCAGCTCCACTCCTGAATCCTGCAGAGCGTTGAGACTCAGGTCCAGAACTCTCAGATGGATGTTGGACTTCAGAGCTGAGGCCAGAGCAGAACAGCTGATCTCTGACAAACTGCAGCGTCTCAGTCTGAATAAAGAAAACATGATGTAAGTTTAGAAAACAAAGTTCCTGTTAGAAATAACTCCAGGTTTAATAATCTGATCAGAGTTAAACAGGGTTTGAATTAGGGATGGGAATGATTCATCGAATATTCAAAATGATTCAGGTATTGGAATATGAGGTATGAATATTTGTATTGTAATTATTATTGTTTTAATGGCAGGGGTGCCTAAGTTGATTACATATTATCAAATGGATTAATTAAATGTATACGACCGTGCCATTTTAAATGTCTTAATAAAAATATCAACAAAAAAACACGTGTAACGTTACCAGGGCTCAGCACAGAGGACGATGCTCTGACGTCATCACCCTCGCACATTTGTCACATGTTTACAAAAAACTATATATATATATATATTAAAACTTTTCTCGTTCTTAATATAGACTATATTTAAGGTCGATATGTGTTGACTTTAATTTAAAATAGCAGATCTCTGTGACCGGATATATGAAATTATTCAGGTATTGGAATACGAGTTGTGAATATTTGTATTGTAATTATTATTGTTTTTATGGGAGGGGTGCCTAAGTTGATTACATATTATCAAATGGATTAATTACAACAGCAGCACAGCTGATCTCTGACAAACTGCAGCACTCTTTAACTTTGATCAGATGTTTAACAGCTCCTTCATCTCCCTCACAGCTCATCAGTACTGACAGCATCTCCACTGACTCATGGAGCACAGACTGAGTCTGTGGAAGCTCAAACACTCTCCCTCACACATTCACCTTCTCTTTGTTATTCTGATCAATATTCACTCATTAGCAACAGTGGACAAAATAACAATAATATTGTATTTGTTCAAATTCAGTAAATCATAAACACAACGCAGTATGAACTGCAGTCAGTGAACTGACCTGAGAGCCTCCAGTCTGCAGTTTGGACTCTTTAGTCCAGAACTCAGCAGCTCCACTCCTGAATCCTTCAGATCGTTGTGACTCAGGTCCAGATCTCTCAGATGAGAGGGCTCAGACTTCAGAGCTGAGGCCACGACTTCACATTCAGTCTCTGAGAGTCCACAGCCACTAAGTCTATAATAACATATATATTACAACATGTGTTAAAAAGAGGAAACATTATATTAAACTCAAGCATTTGATGAAAACATATTTGACATTTGCTGTTAGTCCATTTAATATGATATATTTAAGCAATAGCTCACGACAGGCCGTGGTATATGCTCATTATATCACAGCTAAGGGGCGTGGTTCGGCCCGACGCGAAGCGGAGGGTCGACAACCCCCTTAGCTGTGATATAATGAGCATATACCACGGCCTGTCGTGAGCTATTGCTTTTATAAAACGGTTACCAAGTGTGGCAATATGAAAGAAAAATACACACTCTAATTTAAATAGTTTTTATTAGTAAATAATGATGTTCAAAATAAAATAGTCCCTCCGTTGCCTTCTGCACGAAACATAGTGCGAGGTGGTTGCTATGCAACAACACTAACAACAGCTAGCGAACATATTAGACAGAGAGCGTTGATCCATTATTTGGCTATTTATTTACATTAATGTGTATGTTGCCGTTTATTGTGCACCCACTGAAAAACTGTCCAGCATCAGTAGCATGGCTTACGTGGTTACTTGTATAGGCTGAGGTTGTTCTAGGCTGTTGCTTGGCGTGGCGAGAATATTGCTCCACTTTCTCCGGTCCCCGAGATTGGGCTTCCAGTAGCTCTGGAGAGAGCTTTCGCACCTGTGGCCACTAACGGTCATAATTTCTCTGCTTTGTTTCAAGACCCGCATCAGAAAGCTTTTGAATGGTGATACTTTTCCAGTTGGTCTACCTGCTCTTCACGTAGCTCTACATATCGTCGTTTAGGTGCTTTTTGTTCTGGAGATAGGCACTCCTCAATCCACTCCTCCATAGTAAGACCCCCCCCCCCCCCCCCCCCCCCCGGAGGTCGAAGTTAATCTTAAATGTTTTTGCGGACCTTTTTGATTACAGATTTGAAAACATCGTTGCTCGCTTTAAAAGTAGCACAATTCATTATGTCAAACCTTGGAAAGTATCTAAATATCCCTGCCCTAATGCCAAAGGAACTGCACACTGAATATGTTTTTGCCGTTTGATGTCTATGTCTGGACCGTTGCGTAAAAAGGAGGGTTTCTGCCCCGTTACTTCTCCGCTGCTTTCTTGTTCCAGTTTGCCAACTGTATACTGTTTATCTCAGACGCGGAGGGATACTGAGTTGTTGTGAAAAGTAACTTACAATTCTACCCGTGGTATACGCTCAGTATACCACGGGTAAGAACCAATCAGATTGCTTGATTTTACTTGTCCGTTTTATAAAATATATATAATATATAATAATATATGATAATAGAGTGTAATGTGTTGTCAGTGTGATCTGGTCACATGTCTGTGCTCCTCCTGTCACTGACTGTTACCATAGAAACAGAAATTAAATAAATCACAATATTAGAGATGTCCATATTTCAATGTGGATGTGAATGATGGATGGAGGATGTTTTGGCTTCTCTGAGCATCTGAACATTTATTGTAGAAACAAACACAATTAACAAACCAATAAAGTTTCAATATTTTCAACTGAATACCATCAGATGTTCCCAGTATATCAGCATTAAGACTTAACTCTGTTATTGGTGGGAAATGTTTTATTTTAAACTCTAATACATTGTGATAGAAACGTGTGTTTAATGATAAAGAAACTACTAGAAAGTAATAAGTGCTTTCTCTGATAACTGTAAGTCCTGCTGTGTGGTGTGATCACATGCTGAGAAACCTCTCAAGTCCTTCATGTGTTTGACATGTCTCCTCCATCACTCAATATGAAGAGAGGAACGGTTCAATTTAACTATTATTATAAATAAATAGAAGAACAGTGTTGGTTTATTTTGCTCTCAGTATTTAAACAGCAGAAATGTCATCGTGTTCATTTGAATAATTAAACTTCTGATCCACATTAGTTTATAAAGTTAATCACATCTGGACTTACTGTGCCTTCCGGCAGTTCCTCACAGCTGGAATCAGTCTCCGTCGTCCCTCCCGTGATGTGTTGTACTTCCTCAGGTCCAACTCATCCAGAACCTCCTCTGACATCTGCAGCATGTCGGCCAGAGCAGAGCAGTGGATCTCAGAGAGTTCCTTCTCTGATCTGTTCTCTGACTTCAGGAACTCTGTGATCTCCTGATGTACTGAGTGGTCCTTCATCTCTGTCAGACAGTGGAAGATGTTGATGCTCCTTTCAGGAGAGATATCATAACTGCTCATCCTCTTCAGGTTGTTGATGGCTCTTTGGATGGTTTCTGGTCTGTTGTCTTTGTGACCCAGCAGGCCTCCTAAGAGTCTCTTGATGATTTTTGGACGGTTGTCTGTGCGACCCAGCAGGCCTCCTAAGAGTCTCTGGTTGGACTCCAGAGAGAGGCCGTGGAGAAAGCGGACAAACAGGTCCAGGTGGCCATTTTCACTTCTGAGGGATTTCTCCATGGCTCCCTTCAGGAAGACATCCAGGGATGGGTATTTCTGATCACTGCTGTTGCTATGGTCTCTCTTCAGGAAGTCCTCCAGTACCTCTGTGTCTCTGTTGGTGTAACAGTGGAACATGTAGACTGCAGCCAGAAACTCCTGAATGCTCAGATGAACAAAGCAGTAGACTGTTTTCTTGAAGATCACTCTCTCTCTTTTGAAGATCTCTGTACAAACTCCTGAGTGCACCAAGGCCTCGGTGACATCAAGACCACAGCGCTCGAGGTCTTCTTGGTAGAACATGATGTCTCCTTTCTCCAGATGTTCAAACGCCAGCCTCCCCAGCTTCAGAAGAACCTCCCTGTCAGCCTCCGTCAGCTGCTGTGGACTCGTCTCATGTCCCTCTTCATACTTCTGCTTCTTCCTCTTGGTCTGGACCAGCAGGAAGTGTGAGTACATGTCAGTGAGGGTCTGGGGCAGCTCTCCTCTCTGGTCTGTAGTCAACATGTGGTCCAGAACTGCAGCAGTGATCCAGCAGAAGACTGGGATCAGACACATGATGTGGAGGCTCCTGGAGCTCTTGATGTGAGAGATGATTCTGCTGGACAGGTCTTCATCACTCGATCTCCTCCTGAAGTACTCCTCCTTCTGGGCGTCAGTGAAGCCTCGTACTTCTGTTACCCTGTCCACACACTCAGGAGGGATCTGATTGGCCGCTGCAGGTCTGGAAGTTATCCAGATGAGAGCCGAGGGAAGCAGTTTCCCCCTGATGAGGTTTGTCAGCAGCACGTTGACTGAGGACTTCTGAGAGACATCAGACACAACCTCATTGTTTCTGAAGTCCAGAGAAAGTCTGCTTTCATCCAGGCCGTCAAAGATGAGCAGCACTTTACAGACAGCCAGCTGCTCTGCTGTGACCTTCTGTAAGGTTGGATGGAAAACATGGAGCAGCCTGAAAAGACTGTACTGCTCACCTTTGATCAGGTTCAGCTCCCTGAAGGAGAGCGGGATCACCAGACTGACATCTTGGTTTTCCAAACCCTCGGCCCAGTCCAGAGTGAACTTCTGCACTGAGAAGGTTTTTCCAACTCCAGCGACTCCGTTGGTCAGGACCGCTCTGATGAGAGTCTGTTGGTCAGGTGAGGCTTTAAAGATGTCCTGGCACTTGATTGGAGTGTCATGGAGGGTCTTCTTCTTGGAAGCTGTCTCCAGCTGCCTCACCTCATGTTGGGTATTAACCTCTTCACTCTGGCCTTGTGTGATGTAGAGCTCAGTGAAGATGCTGTTGAGGAGGGTTTCACTTTCATCAGTTCCTTCCGTCACACGTTCACATCTCCTCCTCAGACTGAGCCTATGTTCATCTAAAACCTCCTGCAGACCACGTTCTGCTGGAAGAGAAGGAAACAGGAGAGAATCAGGAAAATGCTCTGAGAATCTAATTAAAAAACAGAGTTTAAATGTTTTATAAAACACCTTAATGTCTATGCTCTACAACAGTATACCTAATCAAAACCAAATGAACCAGGAAGAGGAATAAAGCTCTGCATGAGTTCGGCCTCTTACCTCGTACAGTTCTGGTCTGACTGGCTGGACTTCTCCTCTTCGCTCTGTGGAGATGAACACATCCTTTATAGCACTTTACATTAGTGGAGTTGATTCTCACCAATGGGCAGAGCGTCACTTTACACTCAAGATGAAATGTTTCACGCTGCACGAATACGCAGGTGACATGAATTTCACATCTTCACTTCCTGTGTGTTGCCAGGCACAGATCTGGGTTTTGCATTGACTCTACATGTAATCTCACAAAACTCTGTTATATATATATGTTTTTGTTGCCTGTCCTTGTTTGTCTACCCTCCCTCATACTGTAAAGCGTCTTTGAATTCCAGAAAAGCGCTTTATATATATAATTTATTATTATTATATCTGCTAATGCTAAACACAACCAGCTCACCAGGTTATCACTATTATTAATAAACATCTTAATAATACATATCACAAACATGCCCAAGTAGTGAATAATGTTTTAGACGATATATTTAGTTTTTAGTGAGTATTTATCAATATTTGTGCCATTTAAAACCATGTTATGCCACAGATACAATGATACTATGATTGCATATTGAAATATCCTTAATATATTAGGTTGTATGAAAACTGAATCCTCTTCAGGTCAGTTACAGCAGAAACTCTTACTTTGTGTCTGAGGGTCCAGGTTCATTTCTGAAGTCTTGAAGCCAGCCTTTACTGAAGTTTAGAGGTTGGCCTCTAGACCGGTCACTCTTCAGAGACAGACAGCTGAAGACTGAAGGTGTGTCCTCTTCCTCATCTTTTAAATCACTCATCTTCTCCAGTCTGACACACACACACACACACACACACACACACACACACACACACACACACACACACACACACACACACACACACACACACACACACACACACACACACACACACACACACACACACACACACACACACACACACACACACACACACACACACAACACACACACACACACACACCCCCAACCACACACACACACACACCACCACCCACCATTTTGACTGCGATGTCACATGTTATGTAATTTATTATTAGTATTATATCTGCTAGGGTGGGAATCACCAGGCTCCCCACGATACGATACTATCGCAACACTACACTCACAACTTCAAATGAAAGCGTTTAGTTTATTTAATAAAAGAGCACATGTTCAATGTGAAAAGTGACAGTAGACATAGATTAGTTGCAATTTGGCGCTACAAATATATGTAAAAAGACAATGGAAGGGGAAACACTGCTAAGTATTGCGATACAATATATTGCAATATTGCAAATCACATGGGTCATATCCATGTCCGTCTTCCCTTCCTGGTTAAAAAATGTATTTGCAATATGAATAGTTTATGTAAATAACCCAATTTGTGTTCTTTGAACCTGAAAAGGAGATGGCATTGTTTTTGTTACTTTCATTGCAATTGTATACATGTCAGTGTTTCCCCTATATACAAATAGCGGCGGCGCAACGCCAGCCAGGTACCCAAATATTTTTATTTTAATTAAAATAGTAATAAGTGGCGACCCTTTTTCATTTTTGATTGTTTGTTATTTGGATTTGTAGTATTTGTGTTACTGTATGTTCAATAAAGGTGTATTTTTGCTAAATCTTGAGACATTGCCACTGTATGTACTAGGCAGGGCTGATTTTTGGCATAGGCGGTCGCCAGATCTGGGGGGCGCTGCGCTGGCAGCTCTGGGAGGGGAAAAAACATTTTTGACCGTTGGTGCTCATCCTAATTTTTGGCCTTGATGTAACAACATCATAATTAAGTAATTGTAACACCCTTTTCACCCCGGTTACACGTTTCATTTGCCCTGTACGATGGGCGCTGTAAGTGATGAAAGTGGGGGATGTTAGCTTATCAGGCGCCCGCAGCTCACAGCCAAAGTGCGAGCATGGGAGCGAGAGAGGGAGAGAGAGAGACAAATTATGTAAACACATATATCCAAGGCACTCCTTTATAATTATTAGGATAAATAAAAACAGGTTTGAAATCATTCCAATGTATACTATAGGACAGTAAACCAAAAATATCGTTTAAAGTTGGAGAGATACAAAAATATGCATAAATAAATAAATAAATAAATGTTAAAGGTAGGGTAGGTAAGTTTGAGAAACCGGCTCGAGATCGCTAGAATTTGAAAATACACAACCGGAGAAAATCTGCCACTTCCTTATAGAGCCCCTCCTCCAACACACACGAACGCGTACATGACCAATGAGGGCACGAGATAAGCTTGTGCACAGATGGAAGGCTGACAGGCAGGTAGGCCATCCAGTTATTTTAGCCGGGCCGGCTAAAATGATTGGTCGTGCTTTTTACAGTATTACGGCTTCCACAGATGACATTTTTTAATGGATTTTTTGTCAAAGCACTTAAGATATTCATTGCTATCGGGATGTTAAGAGCATTCCATGGAATATAACAAAAAGTGTATCTCGAGCCGGTTTCTCAAACTTACCTACCCCACCTTTAAGGTAAAATAAGATATAAATGAACAACAAAAATAAAATAAGTTACATTTATTTGTTATTGGCTATGGTAGGTTATTGGTTATGTTCACATACTTATTTGATTATTAAAATGTAAACCGATCTTTTTCAGATGGGTGTTTAGAGTTGTACAGTACCCCCTAGATCAGGTCTCTAGTAATTGTGTGCTCAAAGTGCACCAGATTGAAGCATTTTACTTTAAAATGTTCAAAAAAATCTTCCTGGGGGGGTATACCCCAGGACCCCCCTAGAGGATGTGATGTCCACACCCCAATTCAAACATGTTCATACAATACTGAATACATTTGAAGCCATTTTGACGTATATTACCTATGTCAATAGGTTTCTGTTTTTGTAGTGTATTTGTCTTTTGTAGAGATTTTTCATTTATTTTTTATATATAAAATCTCGCCTAGGGCAGCAAATTGGCTAGAACCGGCCCTGGTACTAGGCCTCAAGAGCCTTTCTTGTGCTGGCAGACACATAGAAACAAATTGGCGGGGCGCACTTTGCACGCACCCACACTAAAATATTCCCCGCGCTCCGCGCTCACATTATGCTGGGCCCACGTGCCTTAGCACCGCTGCTATGACTCCATAGGGGAAACACTGCATGTCTTAACGTAACTTCCTGTTTTATATACGACCATCTTTTGGAGGGATATGCTACAGTTTATATTAAAAGAAAAAGACTTGGCATCCGTGTATTGATACAATATCGCCACGCAAAGTATCGCGATACTATGCTGTATCGATTATTTCCCCCACCCCTAATATCTGCTAATGCTAAACACAACCAGCTCACCAGGTTATCACTATTATTAATAAACATCTTAATAATACATAAACATGCCCAAGTAGTGAATAATGTTTTAGACGATATATTTAGTTTTTAGTGAGTATTTATCAATATTTGTGCCATTTAAAACCATTTTATGCCACAGATACAATGATACTATGATTGCATATTGAAATATCCTTAATATATCAGGTTGTATGGAAACTGAATCCTCTTCAGGTCAGTTTACAGCAGAAACTCTTACTTTGTGTCTGAGGGTCCAGGTTCATCTCTGAAGTTTAGATGTTGGCCTCTAGACCGGTCACTCTTCAGAGACAGACAGCTGGAGACTGAAGGTGTGTCCTCTTCCTCATCTTTCAAATCACTCATCTTCTCCAGTCTGAGAGAGACACACACACACACACACACACACACACACATACGTGTTTATAGGATATATCAGGACGTGTGAAAAAAACGTGACAAATTGGGACATGCCTTTCCAAAGGTCCTAGGGACCTGGGAATCAAAGTATTTCATATCCATGCTTCCTGGAAGACATCCATCTATTGAGATTTTGTCTAATGCTATATTTTGCGGAAACCTGATTTTAATACTACTTCTGAGGACATGAACAGGTTTATGTGACTTATGAGCCCCTTAGCAACACACACTGATATTTCATGTTTATATGAATTGTGACCCCATAGATACACACTACATTTTCAAGTTTAAGGGACTTATGGAGACCCAGTAATACACAAAATAGAGTCTGTATTTGCAACTATGCCTTTATTACTTATGATTGAAATATCTGCATAAGAAGGATCGGTGTACATTAAAAAACTAAAACTTCAACATTAAATAATTACTCATGTTCGCCAGTCAGGTAACCTCTGACACAAAAAGTCTATTCATATTAACTTGTTGATACAACATATTAAAACTGAGCAGTCCAGAAACATAAAAAAGCTAAGTTAAAAAGGTATATAGCATTTAATTGTGGTCAGTTTACTCTTAAAGTCTTAATATTTTTCAAGTTACAAATTCTCTAATAAACGTTTATGTGAAAAAAAGGATGAAACACTTTATTTGTTTCTACATTTAATGAATTGCTGGCAAAATATATAAATTGAAGTATAAACCAGAATAGGAGCAAATATGAAATTAAAAGAGGGTGCCCTCATGACTATTCCTTTACCTAACAATAAGGATATTGTATATAAGGATATACTCTATAAGCACCTTGAGATGACGTTGTCTTTAAAGTGTGCTATATAAATCAAATGTATTCTATTATGCTTGATTCATGTTGCATAAAGATGGAACCATGGTGACAGGCGCTGCCTTTGATTAAATAATTCTTAGTCAACTAAAAGTCACAGGATTATGTCAACTTTCCAAAATGTAGTGCTTTTTAACTAAAAAACATGTCTGTGAGTATTATTGTTGCCAGAGTTGGGTTCATCATTTGCCTGTTATGAGAAAGACTAATAGCAACAACTTAAAAACATTGTTTGTCGACTTAGAACCTAACAACCAATTATTTGGTCATATCAATTGTAAAATAACCATTTTTTACACCCAGAATAGACCACCCACAACCCAGAAACTTTAGCCCCTATCCTCCATTGTGTGAGGCAGTGAAGTAGATATGGCATGTTTGAAAGTTATGAGCAACTTTCTCTTTAGTGTTTTTCTTGTAAAAAGCACGGAATTAACTTTTTATTAAAACTTCCAGCTTCTACGAAACATGACAAGTGTACACTATGTTTAGTTAACCAGTCTAAATAACTTACAACGTTTAATATAGTTTACCAAAGTTACCATAAATGAGGCATGTTACAAGTAGCCCCCACTCCAAATAATTTCTTAATAGTTGAAAGACCACATCAAACAACTTGTGGGCAAGAACAAATCAATGGTGAAAACTTGGGAAATAATGATGGAAGTAACAATCTTTTGAAGTACTAGTTATATTATTTGTTGAGACAGAACATAGTATTAACCTATCATCTCAAACCTTATTTATGAAAGAAATGATGGCATAACTGTAAATAATCGTCAAAAACACATTTTCTGTTGGCTGAAAGTGACCACGAGAGGGGGGTTGGAAAACACATTAAATCCCTCATGGATACATGTCAACATATTAACATTTGGCAGCTACAGTCAAGCTTATGTGACATGCTTGTACAAGAACAAAACTAATTAAATAATTCAAGGAAAACAAGATAATATCAAAACCAAGCCAAGTACACACATTAACACAAGAGGTCTGAGGTTAGGCTGATTATTAAATCCCTACCAATAAAACTGCAGGGAATGAAGAAACAACTATTATTTTAAAGTAAAATTGTACCTCAGACCAAGTTGGCATGTTCTAGTCCTATGTATTCATCTTCCTTTTTAATGCCATGATTCTGTTGTGAATGTAATATTTGATGGCAACCCAGTCCCTGTCTTTCAGAGCTACTGGCTCTGCCTTGAGACAGGAGTCACAGTCCTTTTTACCTGGTACTCTGCAGCTTGTTATGAAAGGTTACAAATGCCACTCAGTAGCCTTCACTTCGTCACCTGTCCACTTGCTTTCATCTTCCCAGCTGTCATAAATGGAAACAAGACACAATGTATTTGAGAAATTGCTCTGTTAAAGTGATAAATGTGGGATATGATAGAACAAATTATAGTTTGTAGTTAAATGATAGCATCATCAAATGTGTGTGAATGATGGCCTCTGTGATCAGTGTATGAATGGTAAAAATGTTGGCATACATTTGCATGTGAATGGGTATATGTTGGCATGTACTGTAAAGTGCATTAGTTGTACAAAAAACTAGAAATGTCCTTTAGAAATCCAGTTAAGATCAATACATTTTTCTAATAGAGTAATGTAAATACAAAATGCTTATTTACCTTGCATTCAATTGGAGCACTTTGAGGAAGCTTTGTTGAAGTGAAGTGTTGTGTTCTTCTGTGAATCTGAAAGGATAAATTAGAATATAATGCATGATAAAAGCACATACTGCCATTTCTTCGAAAGCAAGACTTAATAATTGTTTTCACCATAAGTATATTTAGATCAAATAGTGTGTTATTTGGGTTCCAATATAGAAATAGTTTGAACTGTACAATATCTGCTACCCAACAATATGAGGACGATGTAACACCCACACTCTACACTCGTTGGGTTGTACCATATGGGGACATTCTCTGAAACACATCATGACTACACAACCTAAAGACGATATCTGCTACCCAACAATATGAGGACGATGTAACACACACACACTCTAAACTCGTTGGGTTGTACCATATGGGGACATTCTCTGAAACACATCATGATTACAGAACCTAAAACAAAATGAGGACATGACGACTGAAGTTACATAAAGTCAGCATTCCTGACTTCTGAGGTGTGCTGTTGTTGTTAAAAAAAACTGAAACCCCCATAGCAATAAGTATGGATCTACTTCCCTATTAATTAAATCATGTAAACTGATGCACATTAGGTTAACTTGGAAAACACATTGGCAAAAGGAGAAAACACACAGAATTTAGGGGCAATAAAGATCATTTTCATGTTATAAGAGGTAGATACAGCTATCAAATGGTAGGGGTATATCTTTCTACTATGATATTTAGAAACAAGTAACAGTTATATTGGGATTCTACATGTATTTCACAATATATTAATTTGAATGAGGTAAACAGGCATTTTATGTGTGCATTGGACTTGATTGAGACATGAATTTACCTTGTATAGAAATAGTCTACAGTAAATGTTTAATTACCTGTTGGAAGGATGAGGTGGATCTCTGGCTCGCTTCAGAGTCAGCTAAAGGCTGAGCCGTGATCATGTCACTCAGTTTCTGCAATTTAAAATACAACAATAACGTGTCAGAAATCCATTGACTTTTCATGTAGGGGACACACATTTTAGTAAGAACAATTCACATGAGGATCTGGGCTTGTAACTCAAGACTCTATAGAAATAGTTTGAACTGTACAATATCTGCTACCCAACAATATGAGGACGATGAAACACACACACTCTACACTCGTTGGGTTGTACCAAATGGGGACGTTCTCTGAAACACAATATGACTACACAACCTAAAGACGATATCTACTACCCCACAATATGAGGACGATGTAACACACACACACTCTACACTCGTTGGGTTGTACCAAATGGGGACGTTCTCTGAAATACATCATGCCTACACAACCTAAAGACGATATCTACTACCCAACAATATGAGGACGATGTAACACACAAACTCTACACTCGTTGGGTTGTACCATATGGGGACATTCTCTGAAACACAATATGACTACCCAACCTAAAGACGATATCTACTACACAACAATATGAGGACGATGTAACACACACACTCTACACTCGTTGGGTTGTACCAAATGGGGGCATTCTCTGAAACACAATATGACTACCCAACCTAAAGACGATATCTACTACCCAACAATATGAGGACGATGTAACACACAAACTCTACACTCGTTGGGTTGTACCATATGGGGACGTCCTCTGAAACACATCATGACTACACAACCTAAAGACGATATCTACTATCCAACAATATGAGGACGATGTAACACACACACACACACACTCTAAACTCGTTGGGTTGTACCATATGGGGACATTCTCTGAAACACATCATGCCTACACAACCTAAAGACGATATCTACTACCCAACAATATGAGGACGATGTAACACACACAAACTCTACACTCGTTGGGTTGTACCATATGGGGACATTCTCTGAAACACAATATGACTACACAACCTAAAGACGATATCTACTACACAACAATATGAGGACGATGTAACACACACACTCTACACTCGTTGGGTTGTACCATATGGGGACGTTCTCTGAAACACATCACGACTACACAACCTAAAGACGATATCTGCTATCCAACAATATGAGGACGATGTAACACACACACACACTCTAAACTCGTTGGGTTGTACCATATGGGGACGTCCTCTGAAACACATCATGACTACACAACCTAAAGACGATATCTGCTATCCAACAATATGAGGACGATGTAACACACACCCACACTCTACACTCGTTGGGTTGTACCATATGGGAACGTTCTCTGAAACACATCATGACTATTCAACCTAAAGACGATATCTACTACCCAACAATATGAGGACGATGTAACACACACATTCTACACTCGTTGGGTTGTACCATATGGGGACGTTCTCTGAAACACATCATGACTATTCAACCTAAAGACAATATCTACTACCCAACAATATGAGGACAATGTAACACACACCCACACTCTACACTCGTTGGGTTGTACCATATGGGGACGTTCTCTGAAACACATCATGACTATTCAACCTAAAG